CATGCTTTTCCAAAGCTATTTCCACAGACCCCTGATGCTTCTTGCCACCCAACCCATCCCAAAAAGAAAAGCGCCGAGCAAGCTGCACAGCTACCTGTGACTGCATCTTTTGCTCCCAGCGGCTATGTTCGCAGCAAAATCAGGATGGATGCTGGCCACATACAGCAGCCAAATGCAGCAAGCCACGAAAAAAATGCACTGCATGGCACATGCCATCAGTTCTTGGCCTTGGACTTGGCCTTCTTCTTGGGTGGCTCCTTCATGGCCTCCGGCTCTGCCGATGCATGGAGTAGCACAGCATGGGTTGCAATGGAATCCTCATTCACCAGCATGGGAATGGACATGTCGTCCTGCTTGATGACAGACCAAGCCATGTTGGCCTCTTCATCCGATGGTGCGGGTCGCGCCCAGAAGAATGGAACCAATGGAAGCTTGTCGTCCTCGAACATGCTGTTCTGCTTGGGTGCCGTGATGGTCCACTGATGGCCGAAGGCATTGATGTGGATGGCCTTCGTCGGCTCCTTGCCCTTAATTATGCTTCGCAATGGTTCCCATGGGCACCAAACGGATGGCCTTCTTCTTGCAAGGGCATGATGTGAACACTGATCGAGGATGCTGCTCGAAGGCAATGGATGCATTGCATGCATGCTTCTCGTATGCCGCATGCAAGGCCACGATGACCATGGCCCTCTGATGCTCCTCTTGGAATGCAGGATGGGCCTCCGGCATGCATCGGCTCTGCGTGGCGACATCGCATGCCTTTGGCATGGGACTCTTCGTGGATCTCCACTTCTTCAATGCATCCAATGGGACAGTCACCTCGATGAGCTTGTCATGGAGCCCTTGATGCCTCATGGTGGCACCCTGGTCCTGAATGTCCACCAACTGAAAGACCAATGCGCCATGGTCTTTCGTGTTCGTGTACCTGAAAAATCAAAACATGTTAAAATCAACGTGTGCATATGTATGTGTGAAGGAGACATGCAACCGAAAATTGCAAACAGGCATGCTTGCAATTCATGTGGCATGCCGTTCAAACTCATGTGGCTGTTCTGGAGCATGGCCACATGATAGGGCTTCGTCGAGATGAGGTCCATGACCTTGTCAGTCGAGGCCGATGCTGACGATGCTTTCTGCTGGGATGGCGGCTCATGGACCTCCTTGGCGAAGCATGCCACGATGGCTCCCAATGACTCGTATGTCTTGTTCTCAATGGAGGCAGATGGGCCCTTGTTCAAGACATGGACCATGCATCTGATGCAGAGTCTGCCGAAGCAGTTGTCCATGTGATGTGATGGCTGTTTCTGGTGCAGCGACCATGAGTCGAGAAGCAATGCTTCCGCCTCAATGGTCTTGGCAATGACTGATGGGGAGCGAAGTTTCTCAATGTCACTTTTGACTACATTTCGGGCGATGCCATCCTTGATGGATGCGGATGGGCAGCCCAATAATGTGGTCCATATGGCAGTCCTGACCATGGGAAACATGTTGGAGGGATTTTTAAAATCCATGCTGGCGATGAGCGACATCATGTCTTCGCCGATCTGCACACTCCGGCCATGTACCTTCGAGAAATTCGAAAGGAAATGAAGGATGGGGAATGTACCTGCATGGCCGGCGAATCTCTGCACGAATGTCGCGATTGCCGGAATGGAGGTCCGACACCGGACATCGGCAGCTGATGCATGCTGTATGGCCTGCTGCATCGTCATGCCTCTGCCAAATGATGTGGCCAGCAGCATGGCAGTTTCCAACTCTGTGATGCTCTTCTGGATGCTGCTGGTCGAGTTCAAGGATGATTGGAGAAATGATGGGAGGAGTGGAATGGCCTCTTCCACACTGCTGCTGATAGTCACCCATGTCCATCCCTCGGAGATGGCGCTCCAGATGGCATCCGATTTCGGATGGGTCGTGCTCTCACCCGCTGGCCCGGAGAGGCCTGCCTCGATGCAGCGAAGGTATGCCACTGTATGGCTGCCTCCGATGGTCAGATAGCCTGCAGGCAAGTAAAAACAAATGAAAACTTAAAAGCTACATGGGGTTTAGGATTGCTCCCATGGCTGGGGGACTGGCCTTCCTGACCATTGATGGGTGCAAGATGACCACCTGACTGCTCAATCAATGCCTTGTTCTTCTCTATCTGCATGGCTCTTCTAGATGGCTCGGTGGACATGGCGAAGGCAATGGTGTTGCCTTCGACCAGCTTTTGGTTAAAGCCAACCATGCTCATGCTGGCACCCTTCATCCAGACGTCATGGAAGCTCAACATGGACTGTGCCCTGTTCTCAGGATGGATCAACCATGATCTCGGTTTGAGCTTTTGACGATGGGCAAGTCCAGCTCCTGTGAGAACATGGAGGATATGATCTGTCTTGGTGTTGAGCGGCATGGCCGAGGCCATAATGGCCTCGACCTCGCACACAACACCTTCCGGCACAGCCATGGAGGAAATGAGGAATGGATGGGCTTCCCGATGTATGGCCACAAGGCATGCAAAAGCTGCATACACAGAGAAGCAACATCGACAAGGTCATGCTGCATGCGACAAAACTGGCTTTGTCATGCCAATCATGAAGCCTGGGCATGTTGCTGCCTGGCATGCACAGCATCTTTTTTCCTCAAGGCCTGCACACATGCTCGTCCCATGGTCTTTCTTATGCATGGAATCAAGTCCTCCTCTTCTTGATGTACTTCCTCTTGGATGCCTGCATGGCTTCGATGGCATCCTCCCTCATGTACTCCACAACCGCCTGGATCTGCTCGGCATCGATGCGAATCGCGAGGTCCGATGCTACTGGCCTGCGGCCATGGACCAAGCATTGGACCTGGACCTCCTTAACCATGATGTTGATGGTCTCCGGGAGGATCTTCATGGTCTTCTTCCTCTTCAATGGTGCCTCCTTGGCCGATGATGATGGCTCCGGCTCGTCGGATGCAAACAATGCCTCATGGGAGTCCTCATGCTCATGGTTCTCCATGAGCTGCTCGTTCCTCATGCGGATGAGCTCATGCAGCTTGCCGGACGATGAGATGGATGCATTGCAGGAGGATGAGCCGCAAATGAGCTGGATGAC